AGGAGGCCTGAGGATTATCTGATAAGGAGAGGGCGTTGGGTTTTTTTGAATGTATCGGGCGCGGCAATACGAGGACCCCTCAGAAGAAAATAGCGTAGAGAAGTCATCAAGAGGACCTATACTGGCCATACACATAACACATAGAGAATACTAATATGATTGAGATGGATAGGAGATCTTATCGCGCTTCCTAACCCTCCATCCCACCCTTATCTTGAATGACGTATCAGAATGTGGTCTTACCGGATTACTTGAGAGGTTGCAAGCCGAGTTTTGCTTGGAATATTAGTGCCAACGGAGTAGACTCGAAACCAACAACTCACGAGGTTCTAACAAGAACTGCGACCCTGCTATGGCGCGGGACTAACGCTAGGGATAAGAAGAAGGACTAAAAAGCAATTGAACAGCGGAAGGAAAACGGGGAAATCCTGTCACTTCTGCCCGTCAACAACTGGTTTCATCTCTATTATCTACGCTTAGTCAACGCAAAATGGCCACATCTCCTCGTTGCATGGTGAATCAACCAAGTCAGGGAATAAGAAAACTTGGAAAGAAACAAGCTAATGACTGTTTGGAGGGTAGTGGGAACGTTGTGATTGGGGCCAGTGAACAGGCTGAATGGTGAGCGCACGTGGAGATTGCGGTTGTACATGTGTTTCGCCGTTCCGTCATCATCATAGTAGGTGTAATATACGGCCGAGATTGGGCCGATGACACGATTGTACAGCGTTGCCGCGCAGTAGGCGACATCCATTCGAGGAAATCGAAGAGGTGAACGGGAGGTTCGCCAAGGACGTCGGACCTATGGGGAAGTAAAGTGCATGAGAGATAACAAGAAAAAGGAGATTTGCGCGGAAACGGCTGCCATGCAGGGGTAGCAGACTGTCACAAATGCAACAATGTGCTGTGAGATTAAAGGATAGAAGGGATAAAGCTTTCGGTGTTCGTCCGTAGCTGTTGAGGGGGGGGGGCGCCACGCGTTCCACTTCCATTAAAATCGTAGCGACCCTTTGCGTGAGCGGCTTTCAGGGCTAGAAGGCTTTTGTAAGCTTTTGCGAGACATCCTAATTTTGATGCTTACGCGGGCACTACAACCTTGTTCTAAGACACAAGGTCTTCAAGGATAAGTTGAGTTGGGGGACCATGGCGGTGCCACTAGAAATATGCAGGCCGCTATTATACTGAAGCCCTGCCAAGCGTTCATGGTTAGTTGGTTGAACTTATCAAGTATTGCTCCAAGAGACCTATGGACAGGTGAATTTCCTAGAGTGCAATCCTAAAACTCAATTGAATACTTCAAAGGTATGAGGCTCGATTATTTGATATTCTCTAAGATGACCTTTTCCAGTAGATGCAAAATGAGAAAAAAGAGTTAACGGCCAAAAAACCGCGGGGAAAAGCCTCTGTTGTGTAGGGCCTTGGACGAGCGTTTCTGGACGAGTTCCCGTTGACATGGTGCCAACAACCGGTTTGGCGGATACGGCTGCACATAAGCATTTATGCATCTATGCAGCAACGCTTCATATCAACTAAACTCATAAGGTTATAAGCAGTGTCAATGTGACGGGTACATTTGTGGGCGGAGCGTCGCAGTGGGCGTCGGGTCGGCATGCTGCACCTGATTAGGAGCTATAACGGTGCTCTTGGCTGGAAGGGGCCATGCAGGTCTTTTGTGCTAGGCATGTGGAACTACCGACTGTAGGAATTATCAAGGCACTTGCTTTAGGGATGAGCTGCTCCCCCCACCCAGCCAGAAGTGCGAATTGTTAGAGAATGATGGAGAAAACAATGCAAACTTGATTCATCATGGAGGCGCTTGGAATGTGACGCTTACCCCTTGAACCTTCCCGTATGAGAAAGAATTTCACTGACTCCAGTACCGATAGAAAAACTCAACTCCATCACGGAATGCGGCTTCCACCGTGATGAGTTCCACGAATGTTATGACTTATTATAAGAAAGGAAACGTACAGTTACTACATCTTGACGGATTGCCATCACGGATGAATGAAACTCAGCGCGTGCAATCAGTTGGGATCAGATAAAACGACACGTCGCAATTTTCGAGCTTTCACGAGAAAAACTCAGTCCTCAATCACATACAGTATCAGTAATGATCGTAAACCATCTCGCGGAGTAATTACACTATGCCCTCTTAGAGTCGTTGGCCTGGATCTTTGTGGACCTCAAGCTGGTTTAGCAAGGCTGTGTTTAGTTATGGGCAGAATTTTTTGTCTCAGCCGGGATCGAAACCGAACCCACCTCGCCGAATCAATCAAAATAATAATAAAAAAGATAGGGTCTTCGTAGGCTAGTGAATCTCCGACTGCGATGTGGCCTCAATGACTTGAGGGGAACAGCGGATGTACAGGTCAGCGTTCTTATCTTCAACAAATACTCAAAAATTCCATCCAAATATATGGTTCCAATTAATCGTCTTCGGAGGGTAGCAGGCTTGGCTGGCCTGCGCAGAAGTCACTCCAGGATTTGACGCCAAGACCGCGCGCGTGGTAAAGGTGCCATGTAAAAATCACTTTATAACCTCTACCTTATCAGAATGTAAGAAGGAAATCCTCACAAAATCTATCCACAGAAATTTGGTCTAAGACTCCATTAGCTTGCTCTCCCCGAGGACCGCCTTCTAGGGACCGTCGAAGGACCTGCGCGATTTTTGAGTACCCACTCGAATCACTGTTAAGGCGTATAGTCTAGACCAATCGCATAGGCGCAGTCAAGTCTACCAGTTTCTTCTAGCGTCCTCTACATTCGTGCAACTTCCCGCTCTTCCTATACGGGGTAGAGAGTAGGCTCTGCCAACGAGACAAGTAGAATGGTGGCTGACTCCGCCCAGACAGTCGGCGTGAACTGTGTGTTTATCCATTCTGAAACTTTCAAAGGTGTAACCATGTACGAGGGACTCTCTAAGTGTTGAGAGGATATTTGGCCAGTTTTTCGTGAATGGACTGATTCGTAATTACAGTAAACCACCGGGATAAGCAACTCTACGAGGTGTGATTCCCCCAGTGACTACGTATTCTACGGAGCAGCAGACCTCGTGGGGGCCTGTTTACTGAACTGGTACTGCGTAGAGTTCCCTAATGACAGTTTCAGAACGAATTTCAACTTGGATTCCTCAAGAACCATTTTGAAGATGAAAAAGCGGGAGGAACAGAAAGAAAAAGGAATGAGAACTCCAAAAAACTGAATTTCGGGACCTTTCTGAAGGGAGAAGCTCTTATCTTTCCTTCATGCTCTTCTGATGCCAGCAACCATCCAAGTCATGCGTATCCGTCAAGGATAAAATGTGGTAGCCACATGGTATGGAAGTTTTTGACCTCTTTCTCGAGTATCACACCGCCGTCGATTACACTACGGAGTGTGTTCGCGCGAATCATTGTGCATCAACTATTTTTAGACGACTGCCAGCACTTGCGTTGTTGGAGATGTGCTCAGTTCTCGGGCTATTTGCAAAGGGTCAATGCCTTCTTAGGACCACATTCAGGACCATGCTCACTGGTACTATACGACACATGAGCAGACCACATTGCGCCTGCTCGGTAAATTTTTGAAAAGCGGCGCCTTTAAGAAGGCAGTTGGCCAATCCTCGCAAGACAGGAGGAATAATAGCATGGCGGACGGAATTTCTGCGACCCTGAACAGCGCTATAGCGCTTTCCAAGGGAGGGTGCCTTGTTAGGGCCCTATCAAGCAAACCCTACACCGCCGAACGCCACCACGGTACCCCCCGTCCCACAAATGGACGACCGTTCCTGACGCTCGAATTGATTCATTTGCTAAGCAAATTATGAAGCGAAGGGATTGGTATGAAGCGGTCCGTGATGCTGCATGGATATATGAGTACATATACGCAACCGTATCGGTAGCTGTTATTAGCAAGATGCTTACGGAACACACCCACGACTCGTCCGCATTTGATTCAAGTCATTGAGAACGGATGGCTTTGTCCTTCGCAGGATTTCGACTCGTTTCACCCATTCTTTGCCATTTCCCACTTTAAGCGCCCCTCTAGCATTTAGGCGCGAGTACCGAAATTATCATGGGAATTCCTCCCCATCGCCCATCCTTCCTGCCATTTTCCTGAATTTTCACCAACTTTCCCACTCTTTATCGTATTGTACTTTATTATCTACTCAAATAACTAGGTACTGGTGAGAACTAGGTGTTAGTGCAAAAGAATCCCCTACGTGATGCCGAGTAACCGCATAGCAAACCCCTTCTGCGCTTTAAGAGAATGGGATCCCCTACGTGATGCCGAGTAACCGCATAGCAAACCCCTTCTGCGCTTTCAAGAGAACGGGGTAGGTCTATAGGGCATAAAGGGAATAACCCAGGAGGACATGAGTAATGCGGTCGCAGAAAGCTAACGAGAAGAAAAACGCCCAAAGGAGTGGAACAGAGAGAAGAAGCCTATCGTCAAGTCACTTTCTCCTCTATATATCTTTCTATTTGCGATAAAAGGCAGTTGCAATTGGGTCGACTGCCGGGGCAGAGCTTCGGTGACTTCAGTAATTTACCACATTTAGGTGAAACACAGCTTCCCCAAAACTATCTGCGGCACGAAGCACCCCCTTCATTGGGTTCCTTCATCAGTGGCTTCCAGAAACAATCATTCCTTAAAACCTTGGTGTGACCTTAGGCGGCATCCCGAACTCGCTGCAGAACTTCTTCAACGGCACGGAAGAGACATTTCGCAGAAGCGATAGCGCTTATCTCTCCGAATTTTCTCGGAATGCATCAATCATTCCAAAGAACAGAAGGAGAGATCGACTAAGTCTGACAGGCATTCAGAATGCCGTAGAAAAAACGATGCGAAAGAAAGGAAGACAAAAAAACGGAGGAGAGAATCGAGTGTCTCCGATGAAAAGCCGTGCAGCGCTTGGACAATATAAATAATCGCTTGGCGGAGAAGAGTGTAAAGACGATTATTGTCGGATGAATGGCGTAAAATGGACAATCAAACGCAATACAACCAACCTTCGCTCACGGCAGCACAACGAGCAGGACTGCGTTCGGTTGAGCAGCACTGGCGGTGTGATCACCATCGGTAATGGGCTGAAATGGTGAAGACAAAATGATCAAATGAGAAGATGGTTTCACCCACATTGCTTATTACATTAGATCTGAGCTGTCCTCAGCCCTCCAGGAACATGAATAGAGGAAGGCGGCGGTAATAACTCAGGACGCATCCAAAGCAATAGTTGTGCAAAACTGGGGTTGAGGTCTTCCGAAGAGTACCGTACGTACTTACAACTGGTTCAAACTTCGGGAGCTTGGACTCAGGTGGAGGTCCTTATTTTCGTCACAGTAATTGTAGTTTTGCAGAAGGACTCTTAAATAACTCTCAAAAGAAGAAAGGCGCCGGAATACACACCAGGCAAAAACACTCCCTCAGACTCCATGAGACCAGTTCAAGGGTAGGGAATAAGAAGATGTAAGTCAATTAGGTCAAATCTGTGGGAATGGATTGACCGGCTGCTTGCAAGGAGTCTGATAGAAGGGGAGGGGGTGGTGACGTTGACTGAATCTTCCCATCGCCTACGTCGCGCTAGGCCCTGATCAGCGTTTAGGTTGTTCCCTAAACAAGTCATACAAGTTTCCGTTCCAAGAAAGAGAAGGGTTCCACAATGGCAGTTCAGCCACGCCTGGGTCCTGATTGATGGCTACTAACACCCACTCAACGCTTTGGAGAATGCACCGTGTATAAGGTATTTCACAAAGAGGAATTTTGAAGGGAATCGAA